CGGCAGCATGTGCGTTTTAGGATAAGCGGTTTATCCCGAAACGCGGCCCGCTGTACCGTTTGGGGTTGACCCGCATTTTCGGATAAGCGAGCAAAACGCGCGATCCAAACGGTACCGTGGTGTTTTCAAAAACGACGCCGCACTTATAAGCTACCCCAAACGGGCCCCGAAACACTTCATTTAAACATGTAAATAACCCTACAATCTCTTTATTATTTTACAATATGAAGTGAATATGTCAGGACATATAATTTTGAAGGCAATTTCATTGTTCTCTGCCTATGTCGCCTCCTCCTATAACTATCTTAAGAAAGCCTCCAACTATATTTACTTAAATTAAGACCCATACATGATATAAATATATAAAATTTATTTTTTTTCAACTATAATAAACATAAAAGAAAAAATAAGATGAAATATGCATAATAGAAATTAATAAATTAACTATATAACAGATGAACAAATCAACATTATTTTGGGGATGAACAAATCAACATTATTTTGGGGGGCTCGAGGACTGAAAAATAAAAAATAAAAATAAGGAGTTGGGGGCAGAGTTGATGTATATCTTCTTAGATTCATATGGCCCATGAGCCCATCAAATTTCCACCTTAAATTTTGTTTATTTATATGTAGGAGCATTAAGTGGGCTGAAATTTAGAGACAAATATTAAAAATATATGAAGTAATAAATATATAACTATTTATAAAAACTTAATATATATTGTTGAATCCTAACTTGTTATTTTGTGAGCAAGTCTCAAGAGAATTGAATTAAACCCTATTGGAAAGAGAGGAGTGGGGCATGCCTTTTTATTTCTCTTGGGATCGCCTATTTAAAAAGATATAATTAGTACAATTAAGGGAGGTGGGAATCAATATGACAACCATCTCTAAATAGAATCAATGCATATAATTTGAATTAATAACCATCAAGATATTGACAAAAATAACAAATTACAGTGACTTATGAGCTTTAATGTTGTCGGTCAGCAGACGACCGATCGTATCTGTTGGCCGAATGGAATATGCCTCTGCCTAGAGGAGGTCATCAATTGTTGTAAATAAGTTTGGTCTCCTTGACAAGAAGTCTGATCAGTTGGTGTTGGCCAACTTTTTGAAAAAATAAAAATTTTAATTTATTTAGAAGATATGTAATTTTAATTTTGGAAGATGAGTCGAATAGATCTCATACTTTTGATAGTTTAAATAGTTAAGCACAATACTAGAAGTAATATGACACCCCAAGAGATAAGCATTTCATTTTTTAGTGAGTTAAGTCATTCAAATTAAGAAATTTATGACATCTATTTGGTCTGCAAAACTTTGTGTGTTATTTTGATAGTTCCCCTATCTAATATGTAAGGATTGGGCAAAGTTTATTTTATTTGGGTTTTAGTTTTATATAAAGGCAAGCTCCTATAGTTAATTACATCTTAGGCAATTGAAATCACCTAAGAAAACTCTCAATTAAGATCAATTGTTTCGTCTTAAAAAATTCAAAGTTTAGCGTCCACAGTCACTTATAGGAAAATTTAAGTAGGAGGGAAAGGACCAAATATGAACAGTTATCATAGGAGTCAAAGGAGCAAGAAGTAGGGGATGTCACAGAACTTGAGGCGAACCTCAATGACTTCTCAAACTATCATATTGTTTGGTTTTACATCTTAGAAGTGTAGTTATTTAACTTTTACTCTTGCCATTTATTTAAAAAGTAGGACTTATATTTGCATGACACAGTCATACAAATGACCTAGGAAGATATGAGGGTTTACATCATACCGAACGAACAACCTCAGAATCCTAAAAAGAGTTAGGACTTATATATTGCACAGCTCGATTGTGCAAAAACCTAAATATAAAGTGAGAATTTACGTTGTACCAAACAAACAACCTTGAAGCCATAAGGGTTTATGTTATTCAATATTAAATGTTTAGCTGAAATAGACATGCTTCATTATTTAGTATTGATCGTCATCTGAAGTAGTCTTTTGTTCTCTTGCAACCTCGTCCTACTTCCCGGGCAACTAGCTTCAAGCTCCTTGCTTGTAATAGTTATGGGTTTAAAGTTTATGATTGAACTCATAATTATAGTTGGATCTCGAGGGTTGTTGTAATGTTCCCCCTAAACAGGTGTCTTATTGTTCTCTATCATAGAGGCTTTTACATGTATATTAAATTATGCACAAGTAAAACATGTTATAAAGTGCAATAAAGAAAACAAAGTGCAACAAAATGATAAAAATAATAGTGCGTACCTACTGCCTCTAACGTTGCTGCTGAACGGTTAACATTATAAACATAACATTTGAATATTTAAATAAAATTTAAGGAAACACAAGCAGGTGAATTAAATTAAAGAAACCCATATAGAAGATCGGGCCTAAGTGTAAGAATTTCAAGATGTGGGGTAGACTCAGAATCATCATTCCTAAAGAATTTTAAAGTCAACTATCGGCAATCTGTGTGTATAAAGCCCGAAATCGACTAAAGATTACAAACAAGACGATCAAAGGACATCAATCCTTAGCCCCAGTCAAGGTAACCGATAAGTGAACATTTCGAACGTAACAACCAGAATTTAAAGTTTGCCATGCATACAAGTAAAGTAGATCTTCACTTAGACGTTAAAACATTAGTTTCATAAGAAATATTTCCATTTAAGGGGGCCTTACGCTTATCCCGATTGCTGAGTAAAACTTGTGAATGTCAGTAGTTAGTAAAGTATGAAAGTGATACATAATTGTGAGGATTTGTGGAACTACAGAAATTCATGATATGTGATATTTATGAAGGTGATAGGATTTATGGAGTTTGTGAAAGAGTAGAGTCTTGCGGTGCTTGATGTTTAATTCTGCGGAGACCATCGAATCACTGAGAGTGTTAGAAATTTGAAGATCATGAATCATGCAGTCTCATTAAGTTCTATTGTTTATTTGTTTGTCAGACTTTCTATCATTTTATTATATATATATTTTTTAGATGTGAAATTTTCTTAATATTGAGTCCTTCTTGACACTATTTTATAAGTTGTTTATCATGTATTTTTTTGTATCGTTCCTTGTCCGTTGATATTTGCAAAACTGAATCAAAATTCAGTCTAATGGGTTTAAATCAATCGCACAATATGACAAACTTAGAACATGCTAACTTGCATTGAATTACTGAAGTCAAAATGATTTTTGTTGATTCTTCTTTATAATTCAATACTATAAAATACAAGTCTGATAACATCATCTTGACCAAAACATAGTGGCTATATCTTTCCAGAGGTTGTATTTGTTGAATCTACCTTTCTCTTCTTCTTTGTAGTATGCTCTTTCAGTCGTTGGGAGTCATGTGGGGCCAACATCACCTCCTAAGGTATGCTCCGAAATAGAAGTTCCCTTACATACACTTAGAGGCGTGCTGCTTCACAACCCCAGAGGTCGCAAACCTTCAAGATCTGAGTTAGACTAGTAACCAAACAATGCATTACTTTCATCCATCATTCTAAAAGTCATCAATAAACTTATTCGTGGGACTTTGGGGATGCAGTGTTTTGCCAAGTCGGCCCCATTTCTTTTGAGTAACAACACTAATCCGATATGCAAAAGAATCTCAACTGGTCCTCAGAAGTCGCATGGGACAACTGTTCTCAACTCCTTGCCAAACATAATATTGCATTCACTGATGAAGGAGACTGTGTTAAACGACCTTAGGAAGTCGTGGTGATCGATGTGGGGAGGAATGCAATCACATTCCTCATAAATATTAATAATTTAATGTTTGGGACACAAGCAGCTGGCAGGACATGCCACGATACCATTCTTTGATCATCCTTTTTTATGATTGATGGTATCAAGTCGATCTCATCGTGCCTGATGATCCCTGAAAGATTCCCTTCATTATCATAAGCGAAATTATAACAACATCTCTGCTGAATAGTGATCCTTCCTTTGCCCCTCATCCATCTTTGGGGCTCTGAGTATGTTTTCTTTCTCAAACTGCTTGCTCGGCCTCTGAGGCTTAAATCCAAGATGCAGTCAATTATCCTCCTTTGCTCACTCTTAGAAAATACATCCGTATGCATCTCTAATGCATCCAAAATGTTGACATATTTTCCTTGTGTTCTTTTGAAATGTTCAAAGTTCTGCCTTCAGACCATTTGAAACTTCTCCAACTCATGCTCCAAAATTATCTAAAGTTGCTTTGGTTGAACAAACAGCGGGATGTACGACTCGATATCTGGGTAATCTTCATGTCTCTGTACCACTGAAATTATGACACACTCTATTGGGGGAGCATCACACTCCATGCATCCTTCACAAGGTTTAGCCTATGTGTATTCCGACAGAGTAGGCTCCACAGCTTGCTCTATGCTAATTCAAATCAAGTTTGAAACATGTTAGAAATTTGTTTGACATGATTCGTATCTCATTTACAATGTTCAAATCTTATTTGAGGACACCTTTAAATCTAATTTTGCATCTTTTGATCGAATCTTAGGTTAAGAAAATATTTAATATTTGTACTACCAATGATCAAATATAAAATATTTTCTTACGTTAAGAAAACATTTGAATATATAATAACCTTATTTCGATTGTTGCAGTTCCCAATATCGAATTGTTGAGAAATCATTCAAAATCAACTTTTAATAAATTTATTAAAATAAATAAAAGTTAAAAAATAGAATATAATGAGACATATAAAATTAAAGTTCCAAAATTTTAACCTCTTCAAGACTTGTTTATTAATTATAAATTAATAGAGTTTACTTATTCCCTCCTCATCCAAGCATCCCCCATCTGTCTACACCAAATTAAACTTGCCCACCAGTTTTCTATGCCATATATGACCAGAGCAAAATCCTAGCTTTCCGAAGAAGCTAATGGCCCGAAGGCACTCGGCATT